CCATCCAATCATAGCATGAATTCAAAGCCAAGGATCTGACATCCAATACTGGTTCAAAGCTTCCCTGTTATGGCTCTTTTTTCACAGCTCTCTGCATACCATTCCTCTCCATCTAAGGACCTTGAACTAATGAGACAATCTATCTGCCTCACAAATACCAACACAGTAATGGTAGACAGGTGTATGTAAGTACTACTGAAAACACCACTGTTCAGAGGGAAAGGAGCACAAGAGACCAAGCAGTCCATGGCTCGCAACTCAAACCCAGCTGAGCATGTGTTGCAGAACAGGACTCAGGCCGGGGAGTTACTCCACAGGTCTCATGACTCCACCTTGTGAGCTCTTGGTCTGCCCTCCAAAGTGATATCCACAAAATGTGTGTAGAAATATACATGTATATATGCATATTCCACATATTTTAGTTACTCTTCACACCTTATCTTCCATTTTAATATGTTTAACCCACTTTCCACTTTAAGCTTTTGATTCTTTTACCACTTATGTTCTGAAATATTTCATTAGTTGTCTCCTCCCTCTCGTTGAATAGTGAGTCTCTACTCAAGTTTTTCTCATAATCTTCAAAGATATTTTGAAGTGAATTATTCAAAAATTGAATTATTTCCTTCTCAGAAAACTAGTAATCTGTATATAATCTATAGTATCACTTTACCAAAATCACATGCTTATTAAAATGATCATTCTAAATTGTGTATAAGGAAATTTTACTTAAAATATATTTAAAGTTGCCTAAAGAAACAAAAATAATTTGAGATAGAAAACATTAATTGGCTCATTTATAATGATAATATTTCTGTATTTTTGAATAAAGTTATAGAATCAACAAATCCTAAGAATGGATCTGATAGATTTTTGCTGGCACTAAGGCACTTCATCAGCTCAGAAAATTTTATCAGTTCAGAAGCCTTTCTGGTAGCTGTAGAAAAACAATGAAAACACATTTATTTTGTAACTAGTTAATAGCACTCAACAAGAAAGATGAAGTGCAGTTTGATAAGCTTTATAGTACTTCTGAAGCTAGAATATTACAAGTCACTGAGAAAATAGAAGAAATAATTAGTTTTCACACTACAGTGATTTTTATATCAAAGGTATTACTTATGTTTATTAAAAAGTGAACAAAACTACCTTCCCGGGATATGTTCAATTAACGTCTAAGATAAATTATATTTATTTCCTAAAATAATTTCCTTTGGGAGTATGATGCAGAAATCACAATGCTATTTTCATAAGAAATAATCTATTCTTTTACAGTGAAGTATATCTCAGTACCTGATAGGTTCAGCCTCTGAATATTGTCTTATATGTTATGTGTTATTGAATCTATCATTCACTTAAATATGTTGTTTCTAATAAAAGATGTGTTCTAAAATTTGATATTTTTCCTTATTTAAACATTTAAAAATAATTCAACTTTTTAAAATTTAAATATTTTATTTTGAAATTTATCCATATTAAACTCCTAAATTTAATTTTAAATTAAAAGTATTTAAATAGTTTAAAATAAATTTTTCTTCCTATAAAGTAGAATATGTTCACACAAAGAAAACAATTTCAAAATTGAAAGGTAAACAAAAAATCTTTAATATTAAATGTAATATTTTTAATGAAGGCTTCTCTGATAATATTATTTGAAACAGATTTACAAAATATTCCAAATTCCTACTCCTTCTCATATTTTTCTCCACAATATTTGTAAACACTTAGCTGGCTCCCTCCTTCCTCCCTTCTTTGCTTCCACTGTCTTCCATCTATCTATCAATCCTCCTCTAGCTCTTTATTTACTTATTCACTATCTCTTACAGCTGAAATTAAGCTCTGAGGAAAAAGAATGTTTATACTTTTCCAATTTTGTATCAAAGTCCCTAGAACAGACTGTAATGCACAAAAGGCTCTCACTAAATATTTATGAAATGACTAAATTAACCATCTTAATTGGTCATCAATAGGTCAGAGTTTGTGTAGTATTGTTTATTTGTAGTTTTGTTCTGCCAATGTTATACTTTTCTTCCTCTCTAACTGTAACAAAACTGCTCTTTTTCTATCAAAATTTCCCATTCATAAAATATATACTGTCTCTAAAATTTTATGATTTTTCTGTTAAAGTTGATATATCAAAATAAACTGAACCCCATTTTTCTTTCACTGGGACATTTTCAATTGTCATTGTTATTATTCATTCATGGATATCACTGATCCCGCTTATATTGCGGGATATTAATTGCTTGCTTAGGGTAATCCCAGAAATAGAATTTTGGGGTGAAATGGCATTTGAAACATTATGCCAATTAGCCCAAGAGTAACACTGATACAATTTACACTTCTATCTAAATGTGAGTCTCAAATTTTCCACTCTCTCAATAAAGTTTTCACCTATTTTCTTTTTAAACATGTTGAGCATTTCACCAGCTAAATGTTCCAAAAGAAGTCAATATAAGAGACAAAGTAATGTGTAAGTACTTTTCAACTCAACAATTTCACTTTACCTGAGTTGGATCAATCACAAAATCATTTACATATCCATGAATTAAAACTTGGTGTAATAAAAAGGAATTGTTTTATAATGTGCTACACCTCATTTAATAATTTTTTCATTAAATGATTCTAATGTGTTTTTATTGGTTGCACAACATTTAATAATATGCAGCATACTGATTGCAAATATACTATTTCCCTCTTTAATTTAGACTAATGAAAATGGATTTTATTCATCTTAAATATATGCACAAAATAATCTTAACTATAAGTAAAATAAAACCACTTCCATACTTGTTAATAAAAGTTCTAGAGTAATGTGAAATAAACACATGATGATAAAATGTTGAGTGACTGAATAACTATCATATGAGTTTGTGGGTCCCCTGAGAATAGTCATATAATTGACTTCTGTTCTTAACATTTGTACCTATAAAAGATATCCTGTAATCAATTTTAACTTGCTAATGATTCTATTTATAGGTAGAAAGATAATAACATACATTTTCTTCAAATTCTACAGGGCAAAGCACTCGATTCTTAGTAGTTTCATGACTCAAGTAACAAATATGCATATCAAGTCTATCAATTAAGTCAAATATTCTTTACAGTTTCATTTATGTGTACATTTTATATATATACATAATACTACAAAATAATTTTATCTAAAATCTGAGAAATTTTACATTTAATATTGTTACATTTGTATTAAAGTAAAACAAAATTGCCAACATTTAAACAAGTGACAGAATAAAGAAACCTTTTCCCTAGATTATTTCTAAAAGTATGTGAAAAGGACATCATTCCTAAGTAACACTAACACAAAGTATACAACAAAAGTAACTATTTCACTGTATCTTTTTTAGTACTAGGAATAGAACCAAGAGTGTTCCACCACTAAGCTGCATCCTCTGCTCTTTTCATTTTTCTTTTCATTGAGACAGGGTTTCCCTAAGAAGGCCAGACTTGCCTTGACCTTTTGATTTTTTTCTTGGGTTCCCCAGTAGCTAGGAGGACAGGAATGTGCCACTACATTCAGTTTGTCACTGTATCTTTTTATTATTTTTCTTACAAATCAAAGGACTTAACATTAGTTGTCTAGAAAAAAATTAGGTGCTATTACAAATGATAAACAGAAAAGGGCTGTTGTCATTTTACAGCAGAAAACTATATTACTATCTATCTATATATTAAAAGAATCAGGAATTGTCATATTGAGCAATAATAAAATCCAATCTAGGTAAAAATCAACTTAAAAGTACGAATCTATGTAGATAGTTGATGATATCACACTTTAAAATCTTTTCTTTGATTGAATCAATTGAACAGAGCTAGGACAAATGAAAGTCAATCTTCAATTACCAAAATGAAACACAGATATTAAGTGAATTGGCCTTGGGCACCTATTAAATCTATGTTAGGTTCACATTTTCGATTGTATGCCTTAAGATAGAAGATTAAATTCAAGAGAATGAACAAGTCTATAATTACTATAATATCTGCACATATCAGAGGAAATCAAATTTCATACACCATAGTATCAGATAATTGCTTAAGAAATCCATATGGTTTTTTCTAACATTTTGATTAAGGAGGGATGTGAGATTTCTCTTATAATTTCTTTGAAGTATGGGCTACTTTAAGATTCAGGATGGCACATTTGATAGATTACTGGTATTAACCAATGTGAAAAAGTCTTTTCATTTAGAAAGCTGGCTGCTCTGTAGTTGTGTAGTGACTTTGACAGTCACTATGTCTTTGACTTCCAAATAATTTCAACTTTGAAACTTTCCATGGTTTTCAGTGTATGAATTTCCTTTTCAGTTAAATGTGTTTGTTCTATAAACATTGCTGTATTTGGTGCATAGTTATTTATGATTGTTATCTCTTCCTCTTGCAGTTTTCCCCTAACAAGTACATATAGTGGTACATAGAGTTTGCACTGTTGGTTCCTGCTTTTTCCCTCTGTTGCTGTCACCGAGGCTGCTGAAGCTGTCCAGGGTTCAACTGGGCTCCTGTGAGGGTGCAGGGTCTGGGGCTGAGGCTGAGCTACTTTTGGAATTTTAAACCCTCAAATATTACTTAGCTTTTATTTTAGCTGCTTTCTTGATATTTGAGAAGAATGAAAACAATTCTATGTAACAGGCGTGGTATGGTTTCTTGTATGGTACTGATTTTTAGATCAGGGTAAAGCCTTTAACAACTTCTGCACATTAAGAGTTCAGGTTTTCCTCCTTAGAATGTTACGGCAATTTATTAGCTTCAGTGAAATTCGTAAAATGGTCTTCAGTAAAATTAAGAAACATAAAACCCCAAACAAACCTTTTTAAATTTGAAAAAAACTTAAAAATTAGAATCTTTCAGTAATTATTTTTTCTTTTTTACTTTTTTGTCCTATATACTTTAAAGAGGTAAAGGTAATGGTAAATGTAAGTTTACCATCATCTATTTCCATATGGAAACATTAGGCTTTCACTCATCACCTTAGTAGGATAATCTAAACTTACCTGGCCCATCAGTCATTTTTTCTAGGCACCGAGGAGCTCCACTAAGGAAGGAGGTATGTTTTCTTTCAGCCACCAAACTGCGAGGTGGCATGTAATTATGTTTAAGTTGGGACATTTCATATGATTTTTGAACATCATAGCTGCCAGGGGCTGGAATAACCTAAAATAAATTTTAAATAGATGAGCATAAATATACCTTATATGAAAAATGTTCAAGTAGATACTTTATCATAATTCATACTAAGCAGTAGTTTAGTAGAAAAGTATGAAAATTTCATTAATTAATCATTAAAAATAGAAATTTTAAAGAAGATCCTCAAATCTATGTCCTTACAATCAAAGTATAAATTTACTTGTCAAAAATTAAGGAAAAATAAACAGTACTATGAAATTTAGGACCAAATCCTTTTTAAAATATAGTCTTCATGCCAAAAAAAAGTAGGTGGTCTCACAGAAATGGAGATTAGAATATTTATTACCAGAGCTTGGGGAAGGTTACAGGAAAGGATGTGGAGAGATGGTAGTTAATGAATACAGGAGTGCAAGTGGGTCAAAGGACTAATTTCTAATATTTGGTAGCACCGCAGGGTAATTGGTTGACAACAATTAATTGTATATTTCAAAATACCTCGTAGAGAAGACACTGAATGTCCTCAGTGCAAAAAACGATAAAGTTTGAGGTGATGATATGCTACTTACCCTTAACTGATCATATATATGATCATTCTGTACCATATAAATATGTGCAAGTGTGTTGATTAAAAATAAAAATGTATATAAGAAAAAAATAAAATATACCCTTCATGATATTGGTCAAATTCTCATTCAAATTTAATAACAAAAATCAAATTCAATAGCTAGTTATCTGAAAGAAAACTTTTAAAAATCATATTCCTCAAATTATTTTAAAATAATGTATTATTTTTAAATCTGTTCACCTGTATCATGTATAAAAACCAAAAATTTAAATTGTTTCTTGGTAGACAAGACATTACTGTGTGCAGGGCTAGATTTCCTGGGTTTCAAATATCTGCCACTTACTAGCTGTGGGACCTTTGGCAAACCACTTAACTTTTGTGATGCTCAGTTCCTCATCCTTAATGTGAAAAATAATGACAGAAGTTATGTCAGAGGCTTTCTGTTTATGTGATAAGATTATTGTGAGGATTGAGTTTAAACAGGTAAAATATTTACATTAGTACTGAATCTATAGAAGTGTCAGAATCTTATTGTTTTAGAAAAGTTAGTTTCATGCAAAAAAGAGCTAAACAACCAAGTTTGAGGCTAATAGCCGAATATTTTGAAGTCTGAAGTCTTTCAAACATATTTGGATACCAAGAAAGCACACTATTGAAGTCCCTCTAGGAATAGTACTTTAACAATGAACACACTTCTTATGTCCATAATATACCAATTTTATTTTCCATCTCTATAGAATCACTGGAAAAGGTAAGAGTATTGATTACAACAGAGTAGGAGAATCTTACATGAAACCTTACATTGCAGGTCAAATGCCAGATGTCATATGTAAGGCTACTAAAAATGCCTGCAGCTGTTTTCTTCTTGCCTGCCTCAGGAGTGTATAAAGTAAGAATGGGCTGTCAATAAGTAGACAGAGAACCTTTGTATCTTTTTCTCTATGTGATATGAGACAGGAAAGTGTAAAAAGGTGCAAAATTACAAAGAAACCATGAGTACACAATATGCCCATAGTATTTAGGCCAGCTCTTGTCTGGCCCTATTATTTGTCCAACCTCCCTCAACAATCCATTTGGTATTACTAACTATTCTTTATTGTTTTTCAGACTAGATATTATTGATAGGTTTGACTGCTACCAGACAGAAACTAATTTTCAAAAAGTCTTAAAGCAACATAAGAAATTACATTAGTAATTAGTTTTCTTCAACAATAATTTGTTCCCACTTAGAAAAGTTAATTAAACTTGTAACTTTAAATTCCAGTAGATTCACTAGGTCTCTTCTCTATATATCACCCTGTTCATACCATGTCCTTCTGTAACATATTTACACTTCCATGAAAATTTATCTATTTTACTGATGTTAAACTCTTCTTCCTTATCTATAATTTATATTTTATCTGACCAAGAGATTAATACTTTATGTAAATATTCCAGGCTAAAATTTAGTAAAATAATCTGAAACTTCTTCTAGTGGCAATAACATATATATATAACACTATGTCAGGGGAAAATAATATCCATACATTAAATCATCAAATTTCTGTTGGTGAGTCTTTACACATCACAGAACATAGGAAAAAGATGTGAAAAATGGGTATAATAGAATTTTTTTCATACAACTAGTATCTGAATTTTTCCTATATTTAGGAATTCCACATATTATGCAATAGAATCTGGGTCCCAACGAAAAAGCTAAAAATATCTAATTCTGATTCTCATCTTCCTGGTCTCATTTTTTTAAGGTAAGACGCGAATCTAGGCCATAGGCTTAAATACTAGCCTTTGAACTATCAGTCAGTTACTCAAACAAATAAAGAACATTAAAAATTTCACTCTAGTGAGGGGACTGGCAATCTGACACTGAGAAACCTACCATCTTTGATCCTCAGACAGCTTTTGTGGACTCTCCAACCTCTGATCCTTGCATGGGAAACTATTTGAATGATTATATGTATATTTTGTGGTGTTTCTGTTTTGGAGAACCCTAAATAATACACTTCTCTTACCACCAACTTCCCCATCTACTTACTGGATTCTTATTTAGTCAGTTCTTACTTATCTTCACCTTTCTCCTTCATATCTAAAAATCATCAAGATTACATCTATTCTATTTTTTCTCATCTTGTAACTTTCTTTCTTTTACTACCAAATTATCCTGGTCTTGTAGTCTAACATCCTTACTGTTGTGTATTTGACCATGAGGTCTTCTGCACACCAGCAGACAAGCTATTGTACTAATATAGGATACAAATCAACTAGAAACCTTCAGTGAAACCACAGGTCCCAAAAGAAAGAATTGTAGAAAACTTTCCTTATGTTTAAGGCTGTTTTATCAATTTAGAGGCAAATTTATATTGTAAAACCCAGTGCAAGTAAAACCCTTTTCATGAAGTACTCTAGCTAGAAGTGATATCTCACACATTTTAATTATATTACTTACTTGCATAAATACATGGATATAAATGACACATTAAATAAATATATTTATCTGAGTATTTATTACTTTAGTGGTCAATTTAAAGGCATGAATAGAATAAGTAAGATTACATTTACCCTACAAATTGGTAGATTATTTTTCACTTATTCTCTTGAGTTAATGAAAACAGAGTAGAAATATAAGGGATAGGGACTGTATAATATTATAAAGTATATACATCTTTCCATATTTTCTGCTTTCATATTTACATTGTTATCTTCATGTTTATTTTCTTAAGATAGTGACCATATTTCTGTTGTAACCTTCTCTCTTAAAAATAAAGAAGGAAAATGGCAAACAGTAAATTTTATGCTTAATACCTAAATTAGTTATCACTGCAGAATTTTTGCTTAAATTCAAACAGGTAACTGCTTCATTTTTTGCTGGAGATGCAAAGGGGACACATGTCAAATAACTATTGCATAACTACAAGGGAATCTGAAAAAATAGGTTATTTTACATGGGTGCAGTTGTCTCCAGAGCAAAATAGGGTTCTTTTAACAAGAAAGAATGAACATGGTGTAGGTAACTAACAACCAATTACAACAGCTCTGTGCCTTTGAGGTATGGGAACTGTAAAGATTCAACTCATTTCAGATACTGTCAGAATATTGTACTATTTCTATAAAATCTTTAAATATGCACTGAGGATTGAACCTAAGACTCTAGAAATGAGACACATTCCAGCCATTTTTTTATTTTTTATTTTTTTATTTTGAGACAAGGATTCACTAATTTGCTAAATTGCCTAAGCTAGGATCAAACTTGTGATCCTCCTGCCTGCATCTCCAGGGTGCTGGGACTGCAGATGTGTGCCACCACATCCAGCAATGCTTTGTGACCCAAGGCTTGTCTTTTTTACTCACCCTTTCCCTACCAGCACTCCTCTGAGTCAATTTAGCTCTGCTAAATCTGCTGTAATACGCTTTCAGAATGCTCAGCTCTCACCTTTGTGACAGTTGTTACACTTGGAATTAATCAATTCTTAAAGTATTTATCTAATATTAAAAAACTCCATAGGAATGTAAATTCTTTGGACTGAAGTCTCTATTTTGATCATCACTATATCTCTAGTGGTGGAAAGTAACGTTGCAAACAGCAAGTGGTCAATAAATTTTATAATCAGTAAATAATATCTGAGTTAGTGAATGAGTGAAGGAATCTACCAGTATCTACCTGAAAGCCTTCCCTCCCATGTTAAGCCTTATTGCTGAATCCCCCATAGCAGTAGGGCTGAAGCTGTACCTTGCAAGTACTTTCAACTGATACAATGCATGCATTTGTTTCATCTACAAGAAGTTCTGTACTAAATGTGAGCTGTATAAAGGCTATTTGAGGGCTGCTTTGAATAAAGATGGTCCTGTATCCCATAAAGGTAGCATCACTTCTAATCTGAGCAAATACTGTGATATATATGTCCAAACAAAGTTTTATTGAGGACATCAACAAAATCACTGCAGTATGTATCCAGGTAGCTAAATTTGAATAATATTTCATGTGAAACATATTTCCTTCTTTTGCTGTCAAAAAGTAAACTTTTATCTATTTATTTTTTAAAATTTTTTATTATTATATGTTTGTGATACAGTGATTACACTCAGTTTGGGGTCTGATACATACACATGCCACATCTTGATCATTTACTGCCCCTGCTCCCATCTGGACCCACTCTGCTGCCTCTCTCATGTCTACTTCCCATCTCTACCAGTTCTACCTCCATGTTTCTTACCATAGCTCTTTTATTTTGCTCTTAAATCATTTATATATTGGGTCTCTCATATTAGAGAAACTATGTAATATTTAACCTCTTGTGACTTAATTCACATAGCATTATGATCTCAAGAGCCATCCATTTTCCTACAAACCAATCCTTCTTTATGGCTGAGTGTATATATACCACATTATCTTGATCCATTTACCTACTGATGGGCTCAAAGGCTGTTATAATTTAGCTATTCTGAGTAATGTTGCTATAAACATGGG